ACCAAATGTTATGGTAAAGTTGTTAGCCCCGTGGTATGTGTTCAGGAGGTTTTTTGGTGCAAAATTCTAATCTAGAGAGTAGCAGTCATGACTAAGGGTTTTCTGCTTTTACTTGGTCTCTACAGGAAAGTGCTGGGATTGTAGCTTAAATTAAGTAATGACCACATCCCCCCATATCCTTTCCAATTCATTATTCAGTAATCATCCTATCATTTGACACTAATTAAATAAAGCAGGATCATATCATGTGATAGGTTATGGATATTATATTCTATTAACAGAGTTTCTTACATGTTCATATTTAAAAATGGAAATTCTGGCAACCCTACACTAACTAAATAAAATTTGAAATAAAACAAATATAATTTTGTTACAAAATTATATTAAATAATAAGTATAGTACAGAACAGATGTACTAGCCTGCCACCATAAATGAAGAGAAGACCACGTCCGCTCTGATGAAAACATCTCTTCTGTTTTATCACAATATAATTCCGTGTTTCTTGGTGCTCTGTGAACCAGCGCTGTTATTATGCTTAGCAGCTGGTCATCATGTATGGTATTTTCTGTTACCTATCTGTTAATAGTGTCATATAATTTTTACTGATTATATCAGGTAGTTGTTTTATATGAAGGTATGCATGAATTATTAAATGTGTGTATGGATGAATTACATGTATTTCATTGCACAATGAAGGAGTCGGTCACTGTTGTGATTTTATTGAGATAATATTCTTCTTCCAGGTTGTAAAGTAAAGTACTGTAGGTCCCTCAAGCAAAGAGGACGTAGCTGTCACTCTCTGTTGCTCTATTGTATACTACCAAGACCATATATTAATAAAGAAATGTACAGTTTATGTAAGAGGGAATGTATACCTGTAAAAAAATTACATGAAAAAAGTTGCTGTTGCAGTAGAATTAAAGTTTGTTTTCTTGATTGGGTCAGTAAGCAAAATTATGATATAACTCAGGATTTTAAAACATTTTTTGCCAAGGGAATATACCAATAAAATATATTTCTTGGAAGTATGCACTGTAGCATTACAATTCTAAGAAACTGTCTTCACCTTTTGTGATTTGTTCTGTTTGGAAGATTTTAATCTTTCAAAATATTTATATGTAGACAAACAGATGCCAATGGCCCAATCATACTCTTGAAAAAAGACAATTTTAAACTGTAGTAACTACTTAAAGGATCAAAAGAAAATGTTTGCTAGAAAAATTTGTCCTTGAAATTATGAATACAGCTGGGGCTTGAAATAAAACTGTAAAGCCAAAAGAAATAATATAACTGTCTGCGGTTATGTCAACTGTAATTTTCATTAAAGTGGTTTTAAGACAGTCCTGTCATATTGCAAATATATTTATACATGCATATATATTAACTTATTGTAGAGATAATCAAAACTGGCAGTCTTAATAAATAAGCTGAAGTGAAATATTAACCCATGTCCAAGCTAGAATAGAAATTCTTAACTAAATTTGAGTTAACTGTCATGGAAGAAAAATAAAGGTCATTTATTGAAGCAGACAGGATGCAAGTACACAAGAAACAACTAAGTTGCAATTAATGTGACATCCTTATTTCCTGCATGACAAAGTAAAATTTAATACCATTAAATTATTCTAGAATTTAGTGTAATATCAGCCATTTTAGGTATTATAAGAAAAGTAAACAATTTATTTCTGTGTGTAATTGTAGTCGACTACCTCTACCAGTAATGTAAAAGAATAATTTAGGCTTTTGTGCATTTTACTGGCTCCTTTGTTTATTAGCTTTGACAACAGTGGGCTCTTAATAATAAGTCACACATTATTCACCATCATCCTCTCATTTGACACTATATAGTGAGGTACTGAAAAAAGTGTAGTTTAATAATGTATAAATAAATTCATGGTGCAGGTACATTTTTGGAAAGAAGATAGTTAGTCGGTGATTAGGACATATCCCTGCCTTTTATGGAACAAATGTTCACATACATATAAGCCAGCTGAATCCAGGCTTCAACCTCATTTCCCATTTCTGTAGGATGCATTTTACTTTTGTCCTATTATGTGGTGGCCCTTTCCTTGAAGTTCATTGTATTCGTGGCTTCATTTGTAATCTTCCGTTGTACATATCCAGCCAACTTGTCTATCTTAATGATGGCTGTCATCGCCCTGATGATGGAGGCGGCAAGGTCCTCTCAAATTTCGGTAAACATCTATCAGACTACAGGGACATGTATTTTGGGTGGGTGACAAGTAAGAGATGCATACAGAATATTTATGGAAAAGATTCTTGGGAAGCGACTGTTTTAAGACTGAAAGTAGATTGGAGAGAAATTGGTCCTGAATAAAACTGTGTAAGATGGCTGTCCCCTGGGTTTAGCACAGTGCAGTCTGGTAGAAGTTTACCAATGTTTAGGAGGTCCTTGCTGCTGCCATCATCAGATCAGCAAGGACCTCCGAAATGTTAGTAAGCTTCTACCAGACTACACAGCGCTACAACCCAAAAGACAGACATCTTCGTATTCACTTTTGTGAGAACCTCAAATCGTACTGACTTAAAGTGGCTTAGGATCATGTCACCAAATGTTATGGTAAAGTTGTTAGCCCCGTGGTATGTGTTCAGGAGGTTTTTTGGTGCAAAATTCTAATCTAGAGAGTAGCAGTCATGACTAAGGGTTTTCTGCTTTTACTTGGTCTCTACAGGAAAGTGCTGGGATTGTAGCTTAAATTAAGTAATGACCACATCCCCCCATATCCTTTCCAATTCATTATTCAGTAATCATCCTATCATTTGACACTAATTAAATAAAGCAGGATCATATCATGTGATAGGTTATGGATATTATATTCTATTAACAGAGTTTCTTACATGTTCATATTTAAAAATGGAAATTCTGGCAACCCTACACTAACTAAATAAAATTTGAAATAAAACAAATATAATTTTGTTACAAAATTATATTAAATAATAAGTATAGTACAGAACAGATGTACTAGCCTGCCACCATAAATGAAGAGAAGACCACGTCCGCTCTGATGAAAACATCTCTTCTGTTTTATCACAATATAATTCCGTGTTTCTTGGTGCTCTGTGAACCAGCGCTGTTATTATGCTTAGCAGCTGGTCATCATGTATGGTATTTTCTGTTACCTATCTGTTAATAGTGTCATATAATTTTTACTGATTATATCAGGTAGTTGTTTTATATGAAGGTATGCATGAATTATTAAATGTGTGTATGGATGAATTACATGTATTTCATTGCACAATGAAGGAGTCGGTCACTGTTGTGATTTTATTGAGATAATATTCTTCTTCCAGGTTGTAAAGTAAAGTACTGTAGGTCCCTCAAGCAAAGAGGACGTAGCTGTCACTCTCTGTTGCTCTATTGTATACTACCAAGACCATATATTAATAAAGAAATGTACAGTTTATGTAAGAGGGAATGTATACCTGTAAAAAAATTACATGAAAAAAGTTGCTGTTGCAGTAGAATTAAAGTTTGTTTTCTTGATTGGGTCAGTAAGCAAAATTATGATATAACTCAGGATTTTAAAACATTTTTTGCCAAGGGAATATACCAATAAAATATATTTCTTGGAAGTATGCACTGTAGCATTACAATTCTAAGAAACTGTCTTCACCTTTTGTGATTTGTTCTGTTTGGAAGATTTTAATCTTTCAAAATATTTATATGTAGACAAACAGATGCCAATGGCCCAATCATACTCTTGAAAAAAGACAATTTTAAACTGTAGTAACTACTTAAAGGATCAAAAGAAAATGTTTGCTAGAAAAATTTGTCCTTGAAATTATGAATACAGCTGGGGCTTGAAATAAAACTGTAAAGCCAAAAGAAATAATATAACTGTCTGCGGTTATGTCAACTGTAATTTTCATTAAAGTGGTTTTAAGACAGTCCTGTCATATTGCAAATATATTTATACATGCATATATATTAACTTATTGTAGAGATAATCAAAACTGGCAGTCTTAATAAATAAGCTGAAGTGAAATATTAACCCATGTCCAAGCTAGAATAGAAATTCTTAACTAAATTTGAGTTAACTGTCATGGAAGAAAAATAAAGGTCATTTATTGAAGCAGACAGGATGCAAGTACACAAGAAACAACTAAGTTGCAATTAATGTGACATCCTTATTTCCTGCATGACAAAGTAAAATTTAATACCATTAAATTATTCTAGAATTTAGTGTAATATCAGCCATTTTAGGTATTATAAGAAAAGTAAACAATTTATTTCTGTGTGTAATTGTAGTCGACTACCTCTACCAGTAATGTAAAAGAATAATTTAGGCTTTTGTGCATTTTACTGGCTCCTTTGTTTATTAGCTTTGACAACAGTGGGCTCTTAATAATAAGTCACACATTATTCACCATCATCCTCTCATTTGACACTATATAGTGAGGTACTGAAAAAAGTGTAGTTTAATAATGTATAAATAAATTCATGGTGCAGGTACATTTTTGGAAAGAAGATAGTTAGTCGGTGATTAGGACATATCCCTGCCTTTTATGGAACAAATGTTCACATACATATAAGCCAGCTGAATCCAGGCTTCAACCTCATTTCCCATTTCTGTAGGATGCATTTTACTTTTGTCCTATTATGTGGTGGCCCTTTCCTTGAAGTTCATTGTATTCGTGGCTTCATTTGTAATCTTCCGTTGTACATATCCAGCCAACTTGTCTATCTTAATGATGGCTGTCATCGCCCTGATGATGGAGGCGGCAAGGTCCTCTCAAATTTCGGTAAACATCTATCAGACTACAGGGATAACAATCCACAAGACAGCCATCTTCAGACTCACCGTCGTGAAAACCTCAAATCCTCGTCCATCTTTATTTGATCACCCTAATAATATTTCGTGAAGAATACGTGTATTTGTGTGCATACGTGAAAAATTTGTATATAAATATTTGGAGATTTAGATGAAATAATCTGAATACTATGCACATGTTCCATTTTATGCCCTATCTTGGCAACACTGAATTTACTCATATACAGCAGAGGTGTGGCGTCTTGATCTAAATGAAAGCGTTTGAGGTGGATAACTTGCAGTTCGCGGCGGTATATTTTTTAAGATGGCGGGCGGTGAAGGCGGTAGTGTTGCTGGCCAGCTGTACAAGCAAGATTTAGCTAAACTTGTGAGCGCTTTATTATTGGACACTGTTTTTACACAGATTTTACTTGTAATTAGTTTTGTATTGCAGATACAGAAAGTTCATATGCCTAAGTATTCCCTTGGCTTCTATGTTATATTTGTATGGGTGTGTTGGTCACCAGCAGTGTAAAACAACTAGAATCGTCTTAGGAATAGTCGGGGTTTTATCTCTTGGAGCTGTTATCGAAGTTCGAAATTCCTATAATATGGTGGCAGTTTTGGGATACATAATTATTCCACTCAATTTTCTGTGTGTAGTGAATTACCTCATACTATGGCTGCATAAAGATGAAGACTGACCCCGGTCACATCTCCTTCTGCCTGTTGTATTTCACTCTGGTATATTCCTATCTAGACATTCTGTTTACAGGAATGCAGGTACTTCTAACCTTCGCTAGCTTACGGGTGAATTGGGGCCGGAGAAGAGTACTCCAGAGGGCAGGCTACTTCTTTCTGCAGCCTCAGTGTAGTTACATGAACTTAGGAAGCAAATTGAATTTGATCCATTTAGGTTGCTTGTGAATGATATGTTATGCCATCTGTTACCGTTTGTTGGTGGGGCTTTTTGTTCAGACTTGATGTGATATATTCTGCAGAAATATGTGTAACCTTTTAATTTTCATTTATGGTCATATAACACAATAATATGTTGTAAATCTGGCAGTATCAGCTTCTGCTCAGTTTGGGTCCCAGATGCAGGTTCTTTCATTAGGGCAGTATAAAAGAGAAGGTGATATAGCTACTATTCAGAATGAAAGTATCAGCCAAGTTCTCCTTTGCATTTCCTTAAGAATATGTCAGGTATTAAAATGGGAATATAATTCACTAAGAGCAGATCCTGTTCATATCAGAGCGCTGATCGTTGCTGGTGTTGAATATTTTCAGGGTGGATGCTAGTTGCGTTCACCGGCTAAGCAGTGTTCTGATTGGTTGCTCTGTCACTTTCCCTTATTCCAGCTCCTCTCTTGCTGTACCTCTTCCCGCAGTGGTAAAAGAGCTAGGATCTGAACTGTATTACAGCACTGTCCGTAACCTCGTGCACATGATAATAAAAGGGGAAAAAGTGACAATATTATTGTGGGAGCCACAAGAAAGAGCTTGTTTGGTAATAGAATGTTTTTGTGTCAGTGTTAAAAATTGCAGCGTCCTTAATCATGTGTATTTCTCCTGAAATTATGTTGTGTCGGTGATCGCTCATTGCTTTTCTTTTCCAGGATGTAGCTAAATTGACTGCGCTCTCTCCTGAAGTTATAAGTAGACAAGCAACAATTAATATAGGTAAGGTTTAGGGTTTTTACCTGTCTTTTTTATCAGTCGACTGATCAAATTATTATCAAGAAATTTTCTGGATTGCTGGGTGAACACTAAGTAATTTATTATGACTTGTAAGAACATCATGTGTATGTTCAAGAACCATACCTGGATTTAAATTCTGTGGTGTAGCGCATTGTGTTTTCAGGTTTTATTTTTAATATTGAAACACCTTCAATCTTTACGCATCTTCGTGTTTTTAAAAATTATCATAATTCTTTTTATCAGGTACAATTGGCCATGTGGCACATGGTAAATCTACAGTGGTGAAAGCTATTTCTGGCGTTCAAACTGTTCGTTTCAAAAATGAACTGGAAAGGAACATTACCATTAAGTTAGGTAAGTAATGTTTTGAAACATAATGTTGAAGTGGGTATGTCTGGTCATCTTTTTACGCTCTTTTAATTACTCATATCAACTAGACATTAAAAATAAATAAATTATTTTTCCACATAAGTTTAATATATTTTGTTACGGATGTTGGTAGGTCTTAACACTCCATATCCTCTTAAGATGCAGTCTAGTGCTCAAAAATGATCATCAGGTCTAGTGTTATAATATAAGTTTTTATTTGTTCAGATACTAATTTTGGTTAAGAATGGAAACTTTAGCACTAACATTCATGCACAAAAAACTGGAAACACCATTCAGTTTTAGTATTTTAGACATCAATAAGTGAATGAGTTTTGTTAGCTATGTACAGTGTGGCATGTGATGTGACATTTTCTTCAAGAACTGAAACAACGTTAGAAGGTTTTACTGTTTTACATTTGGCAACACACTGGTTTTATGTATCTGTTCATAGCATGTAACTTTTGTCATTTACACACACCACAATATTCAAGGCTCATAACACGTCTCTCACTCCCTTCTGGATGAAATTTGAATGGTGAAGTTGTAGGGTGCCAAAACTACAGCAGTTCCTTGCTGAATGCATGGGTTGTGTTCCAAAAAATGCCAAATTTAGAAAGGCGAAGGTCTGATGGGAAATAGAGGGCTTGGGGGAACCATGGATGCTGTTAACACTCGTAAGGGAAAGTAGTGGGGTATTTTCTCGGAGGCAGCATACTTCACTGCATGTGCCGTACGCACCCAATACTCGAGGCATGCAGAAAAAACTCCAGATTCACTGCACCAAAATATTTTAAAGTATTTGAATAGGAGGCATATTAAAAGCTACCGAATGTTTGTCTGTAAATTATCATCACAACTCGGTGGTGTCAACAGTACAACCGCAGCCGCAACACAACTAACCCCATCACCCCTTTGTGAAGCGATATCAGAATGCGAACTTGCCCAAACCCGTGGCGCGCCCGCAACGAGAGGCCAGGAAGAATAACACAGACAGTAAATTTTTTATCTTTGCATATCAGTTGCTTTACTCTCGAGGATTTAGCCCCTTCAGATTTTAAACTGTGTTGTTGCCATGTCATGTGTAATAACCCACAATTTCTGTGGATTAATTTAAATTGAGCGTATATTAATGAAATTAAGGGTGACATGAATTTCAGGTCCTTTCCCTGCACTCTGATATCCATCAGTGAATATGCATGTGCAATGAAGATATCTTGGTGCTCAAACTGTGATTGCCTCTGAAGTTGTGTATTTATTATATTTGTTGAGTGCAACTGAAGCAAAACACCAGCACTTTTATAGTTCCAGGAGGTCTTGAGCCTGAGCTGGCAAACGCAAGTGAGGGGAGCATGGAAAACAAGGAGGTGTCTGCAGCCGAGGTTAAGGCTGAGCCCGTGCCCATAACAGTTGGGGACTGTATCACCATTTCAAGAAAAGGCAAGAACAGTGTCTCGGTGAAGGCCAAGAACATGCGTAAGACAAAACTTAACAGTGCTGAGTGTAAGTGGCAGTTGAGTGCAGGGAAAGGTAACAAAAGACGGAAAGCGTGTCCAGTCCCTGAAGAATACGAAGAAGGCGAGTCGGTGTACGAGGTTGAGAAAATCTTAGATCATCATAAGGTTCAGAATGGAGACATTTTCTATCTGGTCAAATGGAAAGGGTGGCCTACAGAAAGTAGTACGTGGGAACCGGAAGAACACCTCACCAATTGCGAGCAGATATTGGAAAATTATCGTTCAAAATTTCAAGGACAGATAGTAGAACTGGCCTCTGTTGGACTCCCAACATCAGAAGACATGGAGAACTTCAAAAAGAGTCTTGAGCAACCAACGAAAGGAATGTTGGAAAGCGTCATGAAGACTTTCTCAGCTAAAGGCTTTCTGAAGTACACAGTGCCCACAGAGAAAGATATTGACATGAAAATTTTTGATCTGTTAAAACTTCCTGATGACAGAAGGAATCCTGAGCTGGTACAGAAAATAAAAGATGAGCTCATGGTCCGAGAATTTCATTTCAGACGTCTGGAGCAGCTGAAAAACCTCCGGGTGTTTGAAATGGAAATGAACTGCCTGTCGACAGATAAGGCTTCTATAGCTGTAGAAAATGATGTGGATCTTGAGGAAGCACCAACCAACTTCATGTATTTAAATGACTATCTGCCTGGAGAGGGTATCACCATTCCTGAGGACCCTCCAGTTGGATGTGACTGTCAGCCATTCTGCAGTCCTGACTCTGGAAATTGTTGTGGCAAGCAGTCTGGCGCTACGTTTGCATATGGTCCTGATAAGCGTCTTATTGTTCCTGTGGGAACTCCTATATACGAGTGCAACAAGCGTTGTAAGTGTAACTCCGCGTGCCCGAACAGGGTTATTCAGAATGGACGCACGATAAAGCTGTGCGTGTTCCGAACGGCGTCCGGTTGTGGTTGGGGGGTGAAAGCCTTGCAGCCTATTAAGAAGGATTCATTTGTATGCGAGTATGTGGGTGAAGTGATTAAGAATGAAGAGGCTGAAAAAAGAGGGAAAATTTATGATGCGGAGGGCAGAACGTACCTGTTCGATTTAGATTACAATGACAGCGAGCAAACTCCGTTCACAGTAGATGCAGCTGTATATGGGAACATCTCGCATTTTATAAATCATTCATGTGAACCAAACCTTGCAGTGTTTGCTGTGTGGATCAATTGCTTGGAGCCCAATTTACCGAAACTCGCCCTGTTTGCCACGAGAAATATCAGGGAGGGAGAGGAAATTACGTTTGATTACATGTGCCAGTATGTAAAGGGAAATAACAATTCTCCCTCAAATCCAGATCTGTCTTCCGAAAGTCTCGTTTCACCGTACGCTTCTCCGTTACGCGCTCGTCTCACTCTGCCCGACAGCGAACGTTTAGAAAACTCTTCACCGGAATCTTCGGAAATAGTCAGTAAAACGGCATCCAGAACTCGCTGTAAATGTGGTGCTAAGAAGTGTCGGAAGTATCTGTTTTAGGTTGAGGTTTTCCTCTTGTAACCGCGTGTAACTTTAATTGGTTTATGCACAGTGGAGTGTTCATTTGTTACAAGACAGTACGTATGTATTGTTTAATATATATCATATTGTACTTTAAGTTTTGCTATGAACGTACAAGCTAGTGTGTGAAATAATGAAGGATGCATATGATAGGCACAGACAAG